GCATTACACCTTTATCGGTGAGATTAAAATGGTTATTTTTATAATGTTGTACTTTACTCGAAATGTTGCCATAAGTGATGCTGCTATGTGTGGAGCTGCTGTGTGTGGCGCTACTATGTGTGGTGCAGCTGTGTGTAGCGCTACAATGTGTGGTGCTGCTGGTGTGGAGCTGCTATGTGTGGTGCTGCTATGTGTGGTGCTGCTATGTGTGAGGCTTCTTTCTATGTGTGAAGTTGATATTTTTATGTGTGGAGTTGCTCTGTGTTTAATGTTTACCCATGTGATATAGTTACTGTGTGCACTTATATTTCGTGTATTGTTGCACATCGCTACATGTTGCGTGTTACTGTACACTGTTACACTGTTGTTACATAACGACTAATGTATTTTGCTATCGTTTATAATGTAGGCTTTTACTTACATAACGATTCATAATCGTTCATCTCATGCACGTCGTTGCATATTGTTGCGTTACAAAATTTAAAAACTTTAAAACGCTCTGTTTGTGATGTTTGTAAGCAGTGCAACGTTTCAAGCAGGATGAACACGTTGCATAATGTCAGTTGCAGTAAATAAAATATGCAGTGTGTGGTATTACTCAACAGATAATTTTTCTCCAATTTATTTTGTTGAAACTCTTCTCACATCACTTAGTTGGATGCAGGTAATGAGAGGAAGTATAGAAGAAAGGAGGTGCCGTCTGAGATACGTACGCACGTGGAGTTCTGCAGACTCTTCAAATCCTCCATTAACTCGCATAATGACCTATCTCAGCTGAGATTCCCGCCTTAATTCCATCCGCCATTTTTTCACGTGACAGGCCGTCTGATGCGTGTTATCTGGAGCGCTTAATGAGTTTATTGTGTCAAAGAAGCCACCATGCGAGGAGGAATGCGCGCAAATGTCTTTGTCTTTTTGTTTGTTTGTCTGCCTCTTTGTTTGTTTGTCTCTTTTTGTTTGTTTAACATTCTGCCTGCTTGTTTGCCTGCCTTTGTTTTGCTTATAACAAACTATTATTTATTAGATATTTATTTGATTGATTAAAAACCTAAATGTAGCGTCTGTTAGACGCAATTTTTTGAAACAAATTAAATTGAAACGTTAAAAAGTTCTTCCCATTAACTACTCCTAGATGAGAGAACGTGCTGAGTAAGGTACTGCTGGATCGCCTTGCAAATCCAAATAAAGAACATTTATATTTTCATAGATTTTAATACCAACAATTAATTTTTTATTCTCAGAAACTGAGCAACATTTGGCAGTGGAATATGTTTCCATTGCACTTGCAGCGAAACAATTGAAAATATTTTTTCCATTTCATCAGCTGCATCACACCGGCCAAAAGTAATAAAACGCTTGGTGGCAATCGAATTAAAGACGTTTCATCGGCTAGCTTGACCGCGATCCCAATTTAATATTCTATAAATAACAATGAAGGTTCCAATTTATTTCTTACATTGAACTGGTCACAACCCCCATTAAAGGACTTTTTTTTAGCAACGCAACACGTGTTTTGCTTCTTTCAAGTTTATAATTTGAGAACCAAGATGGCATCTAATGCGTTGAATGTGGTTGAAATGTACATATTAGTTTTCAGTGTTGGTGTATAACTTTTTGACTTTTTTTGGTCTAAAAATACATTTAGTGACAAGTATATAACATGTAGCACATAAAATGCACTGGCATTCTATCGATGTTTTGCTTTTGTGTGATCAATAACTGTTGAAAATGAGACAAAACTCAAATTTCGGTCAGGTTCTGAAAAAATGTGTTCTATTTATTTTTGCTGTATTACAACACCAGATCATATAGTAGCGTCATTTTCTATTTTATAAAAAACATTTGTTGCATCAAATTATCACATAACTTTATCACCATTTTATAATATCATCACATCTTCCAACCATTTGGTACGACATTAAATTACTTTTTCATAATCATATTGAAAAATAGTTGCACCTACCTTATTATCATAAAATTATATTATATTATCATAAATATGTCATTACACAATAAGTCGTTTGAGTGAGACACTTCTATTTTGATCATCGCATCATTACGCATGCATACGTCACGTTTTCAGGCGTAACATCACATAACCAGCACAACATCACATCCAGTTATCATATCATCAGATTATTCCGTCCATTGAACTCGCTATCATATAACAATCAAATGATGTTAGAAAATTTCACTTCCTCTCCTGTCATAAAGACTGCTATGTGTCAAAAATTTCAAAAATATTCCTCCGAATCGTTTCATTTATTCTTTTCCAAGTGAGCATGAAACTGCTTGACAACAATTTCAAAGTACACTTGAATGTCGTTGCACTGAGAACAGATCGAAGCGTGAAAACATGACATAAGCAATATGCAACTTTACACATTGCACACACACACTCCACACAACACACACACACACACATTAACATACAAACATAAACACACACACACACACACACACATATATATATATATATATATATATAGATATATATGTATACACACATATATATATATAATATATTATTCAACAGTTCTCACTGGGCATTATTTGTTTTTGTTGCCGAAATATCTTAATGATTTGTGGCACCCCACTGTTTTTCTAGATTTAGTTGGTTAGGTGTTAAAATTTTATTTGAATTTACAAAATTGAAAATTACAAAATAGCAAAATAGATTTCGTTCGTTTGGAGATTCGGAAAATTTAACTGAAAGCCTTTTACAAATATAATTAAAGTTATTTAGTTTTTGCATGTTTCAGTTTTCAAAATTTAGATTATCGTCAATGTTACGTAAATATTTCAGGTTAGGAAGATTGGAAATATGATCTGCAAGGATAAGTTCAGTGTTTCAAATGAAAAAGAAAACCCTTTTTTGACATGTGTATTCAACTAAATGTATACATGTTCAAAGATGGACGAATAAATCATTCGAATGATTAAAACTTAGTTATTAAATATTTAAAACATTGTCATATACTGCTAATGAATGAACAAATAAATTTAATACAGTAAATCAAACAAACATTCACAAATATATATATATATATATATATATATATATATATATAATGTTTATAATGTAATATAACTGCATTTTACCATAAATTTTCCAAACGAATTAAACAAAAACAAAGTTTTCCCTTTAAAACAATAGCATAAAAAACAAAAAAATTGAAAAAAAAACTGAAGACAAATCGTCCAATAATAGGAATAAAATTGTGGAGAGCATATTTTTAAGAGCATATTTCTAACCCTGATCTACGAGTTTTGTTTAAAACGAAGCATTAAATTAAATAAAATTAAAGAGGGTAGCATGCTAGAACGAACAGACGACGCACACGCACACGCACACGTTGTTACATCAATATAATCACATCTGATGAGTGTATAGATTTCTACAAATCAATCAATCCATGGTTGGAGACATAAACTAAAGCAGCCGTACACATAAATATGCAAAAAACAACAAACATACTTACAGACAGGTGAATACGGAGATACAGAAAAATGGAAGAGAGATAGAGAGAGAGGAGGGAGAGAGAGAAAGTGTGTGTTAAAGTATATGTAAAGAGAGAGAGAGAGAGAGAGTGAGAGAGAGAGAGAGAAATGTTGCTGAAACTGAGGTCGTGGTTTGAACGCCAGGCCGTAAAGAACATTGGATTGCGTGCGAAGTGAAAAATACGATTAAGATATAAATGATGCAAATATAAATGCATTAAACAAATTAAGGCTAATTCATACATTAGAATAAATTTGTTATATTACTTTACACAAAATGATTGTTAGATAAAGTATTTTGCGTTTGAGATATTGAAAACCTCATTCAGATGGGACATACAAAGCGTAACCTTTTATAAAAAAAATAAATAAACTGCTCGTAATGGGAGTAAAGAATGGCAAATTTGCATGCATAATAAGGAGGCCAGGTTAATGCAAGACATAAAACAGATTATTTCCAAGTAGCAAATGCCTCTGCATACGCATCACTTTCACGACGGCTGGTTCGATGGTATAAATTTTTAATAGTTGAAATATAAAAATTTATTAAAAATGAACAAAAAAGAACAAAAGGGAAATATCTGTTTTCGCCCGAAGACCACGCAAGCAAAATACAACGTTCAAACAAGTTTTAAAAAATAGCATTTCTCTAAAAGCTATGCTCACATGAGTGAAATAAATTATCAAAGTATGTATTTTAAAGCCCGTCAGTTGCTAATGATTTGAAGAATAATACATGGAGAAATGGAAATGAATGTGTAGATAAACTATTAGATGAACATGCCCACACACAACACAGACGTACATGGTTAAAGGCGGCTGGTCCTGCAGTGATTGGTATCGATGTAATGTAACCTTCATATAAGCTCTCTGTTTATTTGTTTTTTTGGTACCTTTAAAAGCAGGTGCACAATAAAAAAATGACTTTAGAATATACGAAAATATTTTGACATTCACACATACACACATACATATGTTCACACAAAAACAATCGCACACAGATATGAATGAGTATTTTCACACACTCTCAAACACACACACATTTGCACACACTCCGACATTCAATTACACGCGCACACACACATTTACACACATAGAGACGCGGGCAATCACTTGGATGAAGGCTGATAGGACGATTTATAGAAAACAATGCATTCTCTTGCCAAACCTTCCAACAAGAAATGTCCCCACTACAAATACAAATGCTCCATAAAAACAAACAACAATCATACGTCTATATACACATACACGTACGTACACTGATATCCATATGTAGATATTCGTTGTATATACATGCATCATACACATTACATACTTTTTATAAACTAATATACAACATATGTTATAACATACATTAAAAAGTGTGTACATATCAATTAATATACATTTAGCGTCATTTGTGAATCAACCCTTGGTGGGTTTAGTAAAAAGTTGTACAAAGCCAGGAAATATAATGGCCATAAATGCAACAATTAATATATTCATGGGAGGATAATAAAATGGAGCTTAATTACACGAATGCCACTGCGTGTTGGTTCTCCAACGATGCATTGTATGGCGAGATGACATGCCAAGATGATGTTCATAATGGCGGGAAGGCCGCGATAAATATATGTACATTGTGATTAATTGAATGTGTAAATAATGAATGAGGTGATTTATGACATGGAAAAAAATGAGAAGTTATGGATGGATGGATGGATGGATGGATGGATGGATGGATGGATGGATGGGTGGATGGATGGATGGATGGATGGATGGATGGATGGATGGATAGATGGATGGATGGATGGATGGATGGATGGATGGATGGATGGATGGATGGATGGATGGATGGATGGATGGATGGATGGATGGATGGATGAATGGAATGATGGATGGATGGATGTACTCATTGCACCTACACTATGATATCTATTATCATATCAAAACGGCAATAAATACAATAACGTTAATTAATAAAAAAGATTAAATACTAATAATTTAAGGACGAAAATATGAGTGAAGGCTGAATAGCAGAACCCAGCCTACTGAAACTGCACAACATAAAAATGTGAGTCAGGTTCTATTTATAACAAGAGAGAACTAAACATTTGCACTGCTTTAATGAGTAACATACCTTTTGCCTTGATAAAAATTTTGCCTAATAAACGTCGGATAATTGCATTCGCATACCCACACAAAGCTGCAAACAAAGAAACACATGAACAAACGTGCGTACACGCCAAAAACACACTCGAAAAAAACCGAAAGATTGTATTTTACATCATCAGACTCGCGCACACACACGTGTACATTCTCCAAACTCCGCAGACACAAACACATACACACGCACACACACATGCGGTACTCTCTCTCTCTTTCTTTCTCTATCTTTTTCTCTCTCTCACGCACACAGAAACACTTTTACACAGCTCTCCATTCGTCTCAGTTCATTACACAGACATAGCTCATGAGTCGACAAACAAAAGTTAAAAACTAAATAATTGAAAGCACACAAACAAAAAATGTTAACAGGAGACACTCCAGCTCGAGCATTCTGCACAAGCGAATTCAAACCAACGCAAATCAGCCAGCCGACAAACCAACCATTAAATCAACAAACAAACTGTTAAGCAAGCCCACATTTATTCACACAAACAAATAGTTATACAAACAATCACAGAAAACAAAACAAACAATCACACAAACATGCAAACATACAACCACACAAACAATCATTCAAACACACCAACCAACCAACTTACAAACAAACAAACAAACAACAAACACGACAATCGAAGGTCTGTTTTTGTTATGAAGCATAGGAGTGATGTTGGAGCTTATTAGTGTTGGTATTGTAATGCATTGGACCTTATTCAACCGGAAAGACCGCGGAACACCATTCCATATAATTCTTCTCTCGGGCACAAAAGGTGATTGAAAATGTGTAGATTACGAAATTGTGGAGATAGTTCAAAAGTTATTTGCAATGCTAATAATTTATTCACCTTTACTGAAGCTGTAATAAAAATAATATGAATAATAATAAAATATAATATAATATGAATAAGAGTAATAATAGTAATAATTGTTACTGAGTTTAATTTGTTCGTCATTCTTAATTTATTACTCGCGTTCATATACTACATATGCGTTCATATGCTGCTACTACTGCTACTACTACTGCTGCTATTACTGCTACTAATACTATAGCTGCTGCTGCTACTACTACTGCTATTACTACTGCTGCAGCTATAACAACATCTACTACTACTAATAATAATAAGGATAATAAAAATAATATCAAAAGATTTTTCACAAAAGTTAGTTTTCTATGTTATTGTGTTGAATTAGTGTGACGAATGTAAAATGAATCCTTCGCAGTTGTGCCCAACGAACTTTTTATTAAATTTTATCAATCATTAATCGTTAATGTCTCAACACATCATTATGTAGATAACATTTGAAAAATAATTCAACCTAAAAAAATATTACCTACCATCAGCTAAACTTCAACAGTTGATGTAATAGCGATTCAATTAAACTTCAAATTTGTTACAGGAAGCAATGAATCATTCTTACCTTCAAGTGCGATTGTGTGTGTAGTAATTATGAAAATAATAAATTAATAATAGAAATAATAATACTAATAATAATTATAATTAGTAAATAATAATCTAACACCGACCCGCAGTGCTAACGAGCCAAGAAGAGTACTGCCACTACGAAACATTCAAGGCCACCTGTCCCCTAGGTCACGTCATCTTGATGACGTCATCCTACTACGGACGAAAAAATTTGGGCAAATGTGTGAGGACAAACTTCGGCTTCATTGGCTGCCACTCCAATGTGTTATCCATTATGGATAGGAAGTGCTCGGCTAGAGACAGTTGCACTCTCCAAGTGAGTGAAGTTGTTATTTCCTTTTGTCGAGTTACGTGTTACCTTCTGAGAGATTATTTAGGTAAGAAAAGTTTATACGCCCTAGTTCACTCAAAGTGAACTGCGGTAAACAACTTTTAAATTTATCTCTTATGAAAATTTTAAAATGGGTAATTTGGATGAATGGTGAATTTTTAATCAAATTCTTTCTGTGTTTGAGTGTGTGCCAAGGAGCTCGCAGGCCTCCAGCATCAACACGCCAGCATCACGCCAACGAAAAACAAACAACATTTCGCATCGTCATGCATGTACGCTTACGTTGTGCATGTGTAAAAGAATTTTTTAACACAAAACAAAATGATATGATGTGTGTGAAATAAAATGATATTTATATATGAAATGTTATGATATACATGAAATGAAATAATATAAAATAAAATGATATCTATCCACTTTAATATTGCTAAAAAATGAGCCAGCTGAAACTTTACAATTTCAATTTAACATAAAACAAAGAACAAACAAATGACAAGCACACAAAAACATGATACATTTGGTATCGACACTGAACGTGAACAGTCTATATACAACCTATAAACAGTTTTTATACAGTCTATATACAGTCTATATACAATCTATAGGCAGTCTATATACAGTCTATACATCATACAGGACTGATACAACAAGAAGCATGTCAACATGATGTGTTATGAGTGCCATGATCAATGCACCATCAATCTCATTAGATATTCAATGAATTATATACACCATAATTACTTTTTGTTAATTCAAGAGTGGCAAGCAATGACGATTCTTTCGTTATGTTGTTGCTAGTTGGTTGGTCGGTCGATTGGCATGTTGTATGATGATGTCTGTTGCTGTGCTGCACGATGTGATTGGGCAATGAGAGGAGCTAGATATAATTATGATTGCTTCTTCGTATCATTAGTAGGTATTAGCTTTTTGTTTTGCTGATGTTAAGCGCTATAGAATGATGACTGCGTCATTAACATAAATAATAATGAAGATTTTCTTTACGACGATTATAGCGATTAAGTTAAATGATGATGATGATGATGACGATGACGATGATGAGATGATGATGATGATGATGATGATGATGATGATGATGATGATGATGATGATGATGATGATGATGATGATTAGGAGAAGGAGGAAGAGGAGGAGAAAGAGGAGGAGGAAGAGGAGGAGGAAGATGGTGATGATGCGTCTTTGTTTAATGATGAAAATAATTGCCTACCAAGTTACGAATTAATACCATAAATTTAATATTTTGCGGCTTCATTCAGAGCCATAAATTATTTTTTAATGATTTATTCTACTTATTTTATATTTATTTGTACATAAAAATGCAGGTCTATTTAATTTTCAACAGTTATTTATTTATAAGCACTTAGCTCAGCTATCCCTTCTAACAAAATCGCAAACATTTATTTTTAGTATATTTGGAGTGTTGTAGCCTGGTTTTGTTCATCTTCAATAAAGGTTAAAGGTCAAAAGTCATTAACTCTTGTGCATCTGCTTCAGAGGTTTCAACGACCAACCAATTCACACAGCGTAGATGGATAGGCGTGAAAACCATGCATCATACACATGGCGTATGATAGGCGCGAATACTTTTGTGTTCGTACATAATCTCGACATCAGTACCAGGAGACTCTAACCATTATGCCATCACGCTGCCAATAGAATATTCAATAACGATAATTTGTATAATTTGTTGGAGCAAATCTAAAATCTTATCGATTTTTTTTAATTATGTCAAATTCTCTAATCTGTAAAAAAAAGAGTAATCATCGGAAAATAGAAGAGGAGACACATGTCCTCTCCAGGCTATAAAGTGAAATAAATTTAAAAACTGGAAGGTCGAAGTTGAATTAGAATGGGGTGCAAATCATTATTAAGAATAATGCTGAGCCATAACTTTTTTTACTTTTTTATTTGTAAATTAAACCAGCAAACTAGGTAAACTAAATAAAAAAAAAACTTAATAAATAAAGAATGTTTACAATTTGTCGTTTTCAATTTACATTTTAACCTGGAACATATTTGTACATATTGTGGTATAAACAACAAACAACTCAGATAAGCAATCAAATTTAATGTAATAAATTGTACTTATTTAATCAATATTAATCAAAAGTATAAATATTAACGATAAATAATTTCATCACGTAGTTATTAAAATAATAAAAAATTTGATATTGTTGTTGTTCTTGAGGTGATAGAGCCATCGTTCGACAACATCAAGCCATGCAACGCTGAACTGAAGAGCTACCTGGAGGTTGAGTACACTTGCATCAGAGGTTAGAGGTCAAAGTGTTATTGCCACGTGCACTGTTGTTTACGTGTAATGTTGGTTTTGTTCAATATTGATGTATTGTTGTTCTTTACATTGTTATGTTCACGTTTTTTAGAATTTGTTTGTTTGTTGTTGTGGTTGTTGTTGTTGTTTTATTGTTGTTGTTTTATTGTTGTTGTTGTTGTTTTATTGTTGTTGTTGTTGTTGTATTGAATGTAAGTTTATTTTTATTTTCAGTTATCCTGAATTGTAGCTGATAAAAAACGTCTTTGATGTACTAGAATTAGATTTTGTTTAATGTTTTTGCGATTGTAATGTTTTTTAGTTGCATCTTATTGGCTGAAATTTTCAGTTGATGTTGACAATGTTGCCATTTTTAAATACAAAACCATTATAAGCGATTAAAGACAAGCTTGAAAAATGTTTTGACATTAAAATTTTTAAATAATTTTTCTTTTAATAAACTTTGCGGACATGAATTAATTGTTCATCTCGTGTACGGCTCTCTTGTTTATTTTTACATGAAAAAAAAATTTTTTTACTTTTGTTTTCATTAACCTTTAAAATATATAAGGCAATTGATTTATTTATTAACAATTTGTTTTTTTATTACAACACAAATATTTTTTAAAAATTTTACTGCAAAACCTTTATCAAAACCACACCATCACGTGAAGTCACCTTTTTCTGTAATTTGATTTTATTTTTTCACCTTGATTTATTACAAAAGTAACAACTCTTTCTGTAATGTAAATAGTAATGAAAATAAATGAGGATGAAGCGAGGATGGCAAGTAGAGCAGTGAAGAGGAAGAGTGCAACAGTTGTGATGATAGAGGGGATGGAAGGCAAAGCTTGGAGGAAGCTACTTAATATGCTGACGGCGTCTGATGACACTGATAATGACCAAAATGATGACAATGATAACAATGCTGATGTCGTCGGTGATGAAGTGGCCTTCGGTTGCCGTGACATAAACAATGCGGCAGATGACACCCCATTCATAAATTAACAATTGATAGAATTCAAATAAATGTTATTCTTATCCAACCGCTCTTTCGTCTCGTATATCATCCTTCTTTCCATTCATAATACATTCACGCATCTTCTCCATCTTCATCCACATCACTTTCGTATCCATCTTCTCCATCTTCATCCACATCACTTTCGTATCCATCTTCTCCATCTTCATCCACATCACTTTCGTATCCATCTTCTCCATCTTCATCCACATCTCGTTCGTATACATCCTTTCATCCATGTCTTTCATTCGTTTTTATGCCATCACTCCATCTCGCTCCACATGTGTGGGCACCAAGAACAAAACTTTCCATCAGTAAAGCATCAAACTGCCAATTGACAAAGTGTCATCTCCGTGCTGCCATGTTAAGCCCCAGGATTTAAAATGCAAGTATTTCGTGAGAGGAGAAAAAGTTAAAACGAAAAATGCTTTTCCACATTTATTTTATGGCGATTTTTCTCAATGATTTGATGAAAATATTTATGGCTTATTCAATTTTTTAATCTGAAATTTTAAAATGAATGCACGAATACTTTTTCAAGAGCGCACCATCACGCATAGTGAAGGTAGTCACATGTTTTGAAAATGTACATTTTGGAACGTGTTGTAATCACGCCAAGAGCCATCTAAATTGTAAAAATTGAAACTTAGCGAACAAATTTTAGGCATTTTTTTACAGAAATCTTGTTACATTGAAGTAACGCTAAAGCTGGGAATCTCTATCGATATAGTTACTCACTACCTTTAAAAAAATTCACTTGACATTTTACTTTGCGAAACTGTTAAAATAATTTCCAAGACTTTTTTTATCAGCGAAATGTCAAAGTCATCCAATTTGAGTGATTGTGTTCTTCTTTTCCATCTTCTTTCCTCTTCTTGTCATTAGGCTCGACGCAGACGTGTTAACATTTGTTGAAGACTTGTTCTACTTTCATTCATCATGTTCGCATGTTCTTAAACATCAACTCATTGTTTTCGCAATTTTTTAAAAGACATCTTAATTTTCATTTTTAAATATTAAAAAGCAACAAAAATTTTAAGCAGCATGCATTACAAAATCATTCGCTAACAATTTAACAGACAGCAGCAACGGTTATGGTTAATTATCACAAAATTAAAAAAACCAACAGCACGTTGTGAGTCAGTATTCATTCGGAATAATAAAAACAGATAACACACGCTCACATTCACATACATACACGCACACATACACACGCACACATACACACGCACACACATACGCATGCACACATACACACGCACACACACATACGCATGCACACGCTGTAGATGTGCCAAAATATCCAGGTCCGGTCAATACATATTGATCGGTCATCAGACATGCATTTATAAGAACGATCATCTACGTTATTAATTTTTCAAAAGATGTCGTTCAATGGTTTGCTCGCTGGACGCTTGGATGATGGGCCGGTCACTCTCCTTCACTGTATCATGCGGTAAACATCCGCTTCGCACACCACGTTGTATCTTAGTATCTGTTTTTGTATCTATTTGTGTATGTATCTTTGTTTATAATATTTTATCTATCTTTGTATGTATCTCTGTATGTTTCTTTGTCTGTATCTTTGTATGTAACTTTGTGTATATCTTTGTATTTAAACATTAGAAGATGCAAGTTTAAGTAATAATAACTGTTGTATCATGTAAAAATATACAACATATGTAACTTCAAGCGTTATACATACATTTAAGGTGCATGTAACATAATTATTGTCGCTTGAACATCCATCAGACATTCATAATATTTTGTGGTTCTTACAACAAAACATGTGTGAATATATATCTATGTCATATATGTAAAATATGCAAATTTTGGTTGCATATGTGTGTGTGTGAGTGTTTGTGTGTGTGTGTGTGTATATCCATCTTCCTGGCTTTGGACTCGTTTGATTTTTTTAATTTTTTTCTTTCGAAGCCGTCATAGTTGAAGTTAAACGGTTTCATACGCCGATTCCATCCTATCTACATGAGTGTGTGTTGTGTATGTGTGTTTGTGCATGTGTCTGCATATCTGTGTGCGTGAGTGTTTCTCTGTGTGTGTGCTTTTCTGTATTATGTATTATCACAAAATACGCTGTATTTAAAGTTATACATCTTGTAATGAAGCAGTTTCACAGTGTATCTCATTTTAAATCAGGTTCCTTAGTTACTGTACAAAAATTTATATATAAAATTATACAAAAGAAATGTTGTACGTACATTCGTGTATGTATAATATACATATATCCGTTAAAAATTCATGGGCTACAATGTAGTGCATTTGTATGTTTATATATGCGTGTGTGTGAGTATGTGTGTGCGTGTGTGTGCGTGTGTGTGTGTGTGTGTGTGTGTGTGTGTGAGTAGTGCAGACTATAAAGAGGAGATAATTAAGTAATTACGTGAGGGCTTGATGTTCAATAATAAAACATTTGCAAGAGTCGTCCAGCTCAAATTGTTTTTTTCTCATTTCGTAGGAAGGTTTATTTTTATTTTTATTTCAGTATTTTGTTTTGTTTGATAGTTTGTATTGATGTTGCCTGTTGTTTGAATGTATGATTGTATTATCGATGTTGTTTGTATCTACGTTTTTTATGGCAACATTGTTTGTATCTATGTTTCATGTATCAATGTTGATATGTTATTTGTATCATATATGTATTGTGTATTATTTGTATATTCTTAGTATCTATTCTGTTTACGGTTTGTATCAATAATGTTTGTTGTTTGAATGAATGTTGTTTTTGGGTAGGTATCAATTAAGGCTGCTCTTTGTTTGTGTTTTTATAGTAAAAAAAAAGAAATTTTCAATTTTTATTAGGCGTGCATCATCCCCTTATTTGGCCAATGCTTAGAACAGAAAAATTTATCATTTTTGCTTTTAATTGTGTTTCCTTTTATCAATACATACAAACATTCTTATACATTAATTAATTAATTGGTTGAAACAATTCCTAATTAATTGAAAATAATTAATGAGGCATGACGCAACGTGGCTTTGAATAATTAGTCTAATTGTGTTTGTTTCGGGTTTCTTATTTCTTCACTAGCAGACATTTCAACGATGATGTCCCATCAATCTGGACTACATGATGGCACCGCACATCATAAAAATCATGTTTATTTCTTGCACACGCAACAAGTTATTTGTCTACATACAGTGTAGACATACATGTATACATAAATACATACATACATACATGCATACATGCATACATTTATACATACATACATGCATGCATACATACATACATACATACATGCATGCATACATACATACATACATACATACATACATGCATGCTTACATACATACATAAAAATATACATACATACATAAAAATATACATACTTAAAAGCATACATGTCTCTTGTCTGACAGTCAGGATGGCGTTAATAATTAATCTTCGAAATCAGACATCCAGTTGTACTTATTCTAAAATTAATTCTGCTACCAACAAGAAATATAATTATAGAAGCAATAATATTTTTATTAATAATAATTGCTACTGTCGTTTTTATTTTTACGTTATTCTTCTTCTTCATCATTATCATACTCATCATAATCATCTTTTTTTTCTTTTTCTTCTTCCTCTCCTTCCTCTTCTTATTCTTATTCTTCATCTTCCTTTTCTTCTTCTTCTTTTTCTTCTTTTTATTATTATTATTATTACTACTATTGTTTTTCGTTCCAACCCTCGCATGTAGCCCTAGTACGTCACTGAAAGTTATCACATGACAACGATCTACGATAGGACGCCAGTGCAAGCACGCAAACACAATACAAAACCTCACAATACAAAACCTCTGTCAGACTCCATGTGCGTATGTGTGGATGTATTTATTTATGTATGTGTGTGTGTGTGTCTGTATACAGATATGTATATGTTTGCGTACATATACTTCATGTCTGTGTGTGTATACGGGGTGATAATATATTAAAATATTTAAAGTGTTTGTATGATTTGAATTTGTTTTTTGTACATGTGTATGTGTGTGAGTATGCGTGTGTGTGCGTGTGTGCGTGTGTGCGTGTGCGCGCGCGCGTGTCTTAACATATATGTTGGTACAAATATTGTTGGCAAGGAATTTTATGACTACATAAATCATGGAAGGGTTAGATCTGATTGACACGTACTACTTACGGCCAGAATTACGTTGGCTGATTGGCTGGTTGGCTGGTTGGTCTGCCGGCTGGTTGGTCGGTACTCTGCTGTGCTATGCTAGGTGATGATGACATGCCACTGACTTCATTTTCATCATCATCATCATTGTCACCGTTATCATTATCACTATTGAGGTCATTAACGTTTATACAGCATCGCATCATTTGTTGGAATAGTAATAATAATCGCAATTACCTTTTTATAATTCCATTCCATCGTCATCATTTTCGTCGTTATCATCATCATCCTCGTCATCTTCCTCATCCTCATCGTCCTCTTCATAATCATCATCATATCAAACTTTATCATCCTAGTCATCATCATCATCATCAAATTAAACACCACCACCGTCATCATCATCATCGTCATCATCAAATTGAACATCGGTTTTAAGGTCAGAGTCAGGTTTATCGTTTTTAGAAGCAGCTTCATTTTCATTATCCTCATCGTCGTCATCATCTTCACGATCATCATCATCTTCTTAACGATCATCATCTTCTTCTTCCTGATCATCATCATCATCTTCACGATCATCATCACCATCGTCGTCATGACTAATCTCCATTGCACACAGCATTACATGTATGCTGATGCTTCAATAAAAGGGGTTTGTGCTGGTGGTGGTGGTGTTAACTCTAGGCATGATAATTTTATGAGAAGTACTGATGATGATGAGAAGGAAGAGGACGATAATGATGACGATGTTGATGATGATGATGATGACGATGATGATGATGATGATGATGATGATGATGATGATGATGATGATGACATTGATGACGATAACGACAGAGATGATGATGACGACGACGACGATTTTGAATGCAGTGGATGAGCAAAGCTCATGATGATGGATGGAGCGTGAGATAAATTTGATGGAAATGATCATCTGTACCGTCGTTCTACTGGTGCGGCGTGGTTGGTGTGGTGGGCTGTGTTGTGGTTGGTGTGGCCATGTGTGGTGTTGTGTGCGGTGTGGTATGGTGGATTGTGGTGCGGTGTGGCGTGTGTGGTGCCGACTAATTGCTGGACAATTATGGGAAAAAAATACGAGTGAAAATTTTGCAAAAAAATAAAATAAAAAACAGATAAGTAAATTTTTCATAATTACTAAAATCTGTTTGTACTGCTAGATTATGCTGCTTGGCCGGTTGGTGAATGAATGAATGAACGAACGAACGAACGAATGAATGAATGAACGAACGAACAAATCAATTAACAAACAAAATTAATAACTCAATGAGGAGTTAACAAAGAAAAAAACGTGCAGTCATAAAAAACAAAGAAAAAATATGAGCAAAATAACTAGCATGAAAGTGAAGTTGATAACGTGCCGGCTGTTGTAATTAATGATGTTTACTGGAACTAACAATAACGAAGATAGCTCAGCTGACACCGAACCTCACGAGAAGTTCAGTTGGTTATATTATATTGCAGTGGGGAAAATACCTTCTGACAGATGTGTGAGGCGAAAACTGTCTCTAGAGCATGCAACCAGCAAGTATTTACCAGACATTTTCGAAATTTTTTTAGCAACTTGCAAGTTTGATTAATTTGTTTTTAGTTAACCGGTTGAAAAAATATACAGCTTTTAAAGCTTTTACATAAAATCAACAAATCTGACATCATTCTAAAACATCTCACCAAAATAAATAACCACGTATATAACATCTGAACTCAACACTGCTTACTAGAATATAACAACAACATGGCTCAAGAGAGAGGCCAACAGAAACCTAACATGGCATAAGCATAAGTGTCGCAATGTTACAAGACACGACAGACCAACAACAAATGAGAGTACTAGCGACAATACAACCAACAAGAACGCAAACAACTGCACAATCAACAAGAACGCAAACAACTACACAACCAACAACTACACGACAACAACACACAAACGACATCAATATAAACAATAAAGACGATGAACAAGAGAAGGGAATGATGAAAAGAACAATATAATCCGACAATAAATCAACTGAAGTCTAGAAGCGTAGATGAGAGATTAATTATTAACAACCTGTGCTTCTTCTGGTGGCTGGCCCAAAACTATGCGCGCGCACACACACACACAAACGCACACACCCACACACACACACACACACACACACATACTGCACAAACACTCGCATACACACACACACACTTGCACATAAGTATAATTTCACACATATGTATAGGCGCTAACCCATTGTATGTAAACATGAAGAGACAGGTAGATGGATATCATTAAAATCTAAACTCAGATTTATAAACATTGAAATGTTTCATTTTGTACCTGAACATAACAATTTATTAACTTTACTTATTGTACATTTGAGATGAAACATAAATAAAGAAATTTAAAAAACATTGACAAAGATTATTAATAATTAGATGCCTGAATATATTCATGAATGAAAAATAAGGTAGTTGGCTGGATAGAAATATGTTGAGTTGGATGGATGAATAATAAGTGAATGGATGATTAGATGGATGGATGGATAGATGAATGGATGGATGGGTGAATGGATGATCGATAGTGACCAAATATGATTGATAGATGAATTGGATGAGTGCATGAAGAGTCAGGGTGCTGTAGGTCTCTGTACAGTGTTGGGTGATGGAATGGAGAGAGGGAAGTCGAATTGATTGATGGATGGATTTTTAATGTGATGTCTTGTTTCCTGTTGCACGAAGACTCCTCCATGCCCATAACCTCTTCTCAAATATTCATCTTCTTTTTATTTTATCAGGCAAAACTTCATTCAATCAAATTCTTACATTTGAGTGACAAGCAGTTGACGAAGGCAGGCTACACAGGGTTCACTGCCAGCCAACAACAAATGTTTATTATTATTATTATTATTACAATTATGGTTATTATTATTATTATATAACTATCATTTTTTCACCCAAGTACCGTAAGCGCAACGGAAAACGAAGTAATGTGAACAGACGTGTTGAAAAACACGAAAGTAAACAGCGCTGCTAAGCCAACAAGTGAACTCCATAAAAACATACCAACCATTCATTACATTTCATTCTACTATTTATTGACTAAGTCATTTTAAATTTCATTTTACTGTTTCAGTTTGCATACATTATTTGTAAGTAGGTTAATTAAATAATAACTTTAAACTTTGAAATGGATTGAGAAACTGTAACTTAACACGCGCACACACGCACACAGTCCGTTAACACCAACGAAACAACATCATCAGCAACAGGACCATTAAATTACTCACTAAACACACACTGACACACACACAGAGAGACACACACACACACACACACACACACAAACACACACACGCATAAAGACACACACACGGCAAGAACAAGACAGAGCCGACCCACTTACGATTCGATGAAATATGATGACGCGAAAATATATTACTGACCCGTCCACTTTGTAAATAACAATTAATGCAACAAATTCTGCCGATGTCGCCGTCATGCTCTCTCCTTCTCTTCTTTCTCTTCCAACTATCATCTCACTCATAATTTGCATCGTCATAATCACCTGCATCGCCAACATCTTCTCCAAGATGATCATTGTCTTCTTCTTCATCGTCATCATTCATTTTGATCCATATTGTAAGTCTTTCAATTTATTATATGATTATTATCTCGTTACCAGCATGAAGTCACCTGATGACACTCATTATCATCATTTTTGTAGAAGTTGTCAGCCCCATTATAGAGGACTTCTTCATCATCGCCATACCAACAAACAGTCGTCTGTCTGTTAGTCATAGGCGTTAAATTACAAGCCATCAATCCACTCTAATCATCGCGTATCTGTCACATGAGACATGGATGCAATGCCGTGCAATTATCATATCTGATCATTTCAACCTTTCATTCAATTATATATAGAAATATTAAACAAACAGTCATTCAAATCATTCAATTAAAAAAAATTTTTTTAAATTCAATCGAGCAATAATTTCAAATATTCAAAAAAATCAATTTGATGATATAAATAGCTCAAATTTTGTCAATCAACCAGTCAATAAACCAATCAATAAACCAATCAATAAACCAATCAATCAGTCAACGAACCAGTCAACCAGCCAGTCAGTCGACAAAACCGATCCCACTTTTTCAAGTCAGTTCCAACCAGCCTGGAGCTTCTTATTTCAATTTGAAACATTAATCACGTGTTCATACGTCACTTCCTTTATGAACGATGGTTTTGTTGGTTTCTATGGAAACGAGTTTGCACACATTCGTCAGAAGTCACGTGAGACGTATGAAAGTTGACTCCGCGTGAGTTCGCTAGGCAGATGCGTCTGATGCGTACTTCTGATTTTAATAAGTGTTCAACTTCAACAATGTGCTGATGCGCGCGTGTGTGTGTGTGTGTGTGTGTGTTTGTGCGTGCGTGCGTGTGGAAGTTGTGCTGGGCAAGTTGTCGACGAGTATGAGATAGTGTTGGATGTAACCTGGTGATTGTTTGAAAGGGTCCTGTGGTGTCAGCTGGGTCGTTGGGATGAATATCCACCGACGTTATGGAGATGCCCAAAAAATATCTTGCAGTTGTGTGCCCGAGGGAGAATCCGTCTAATTAGTGCAATGTTCAATCCAACATTCAGTCTGCAAGTGCTGGCAGAAATAAATGGCATCGCGTCTGCCGAACAACACTACCACTACGAAGGGAGCAGTTACTCAGTCACAAACAACAACAACAACATAAAAACAACAACAACAACAGCATAAAATGACAAATAAATTAATTTTTGAGTAACAAAAAAAAACAAAAATTAAAAAAATCGCAACGGAAGAAGAGAAAAAGTAATAGACGACAATTGAGACCATTTGCGCTAAGCACCCTCTGCAGCATTTATGGTCGGTAAATATTTGGGATAAATTATGCGCGTTAGTTGCAGCAGCAGCAGCAGCATGGCTAGTGCCCATATAAAATCATTACAATCCTCATCTTCTGACTTTTATCTCTGATGATGTCATTTCCGTTTAAATATTCATCTTCAAATAATAATAATAATAATGGTGATAATGAGAATGATAATAAAATTATTGCGGATGGGTGGTGATAGTAATGACGACGACGACGATGATGATAACGATGATGATGATGTTAAAGATGATGCTAGATATTTATGATGATGATGATGACGTTATCTATGAGGCTAATGATGGTGATAATGATGATGATGCTATATTTAATGATGTTTTGTATAAAGCAAGTGATTAATGTAAAAATGTTTTGTCGATCAATTTGTTGATGTCGGCGATGGTGTTGTTGTTGTTAGTGTTGTTGATGTTGGTGTTGTTGTTGGTGTTGTTGTTGGTGTTGTTGTTGGTGGTGTTGTTGGTGGTGTTGTTGATGCTGGTGTTGTTGATGTTGGTGTTATTGATGTTGGTGTTGTTGTTGATGTTGGTGTTGTTGGTGGTGTTGTTGATGTTGGTGTCATTGATGTTGGTGTTGTTGATGTTGGTGTTATTGATGTTGTTGTTGATGTTGATGTTGTTGATGTTGGTGTTATTGATGTTGTTGTTGATGTTGGTGTTGTTGATGGTATAGTCATTGGTGGTTTGTTGTCGCTAGTGTTAAAGTTGTTGTAGTTGTGGAAGTTTTTGCTCATTTAATCAGAGTTTTTTTTATAAAAATGTTGTTGGTCGTTGCAGTTTCAACAAACCTCATTAACTTTCTTTACCTCTCTATACACCCAATATATTTGCCAAGCAATGAAGCCATGAACGGAATGCAATTATCCAAACAATCATTTAAAAACTCACTCCTCTTCTCAAGGCAGTTGACATACTGCATACAAACAGACCACAACTACAAATACAAACAGACAACAGCAAATACAAACAGACCACAACAAACAAACGAACGAACAAACGAACCAGCAAATAACGAACAAATAACAAACAATAAACGAAAACAGCTTCTTCAAAGTAGGTATAGAAACGCAAACATGACGTTGTGTATTATTAATGGCTACCCCGCTTATTCGCATGCTATTGTCAGTCCAACACAATGCAGTGTTATATATCTTAAGACGTGTGCACCATCCTACCTCTTTTAACGACACATAACAACAACAGCAACAACAATAACAACATCAACAACAACAACATTAATAACATCAACCACAATATCATCATCAACAAATGTTACTGTTGTTGTTGTTGTTGTTGTTGTCGTTGTTGTTGTAATTATTTATTAGTATTAGAATTATAATTATCCATTATTCTTAATTTAAAATTAATATTTATTTACGTTTATTTAACAACATCAAAAATGACGTCAAATAGAATAAATTTTAAAAATTGCTAACAAAGAAAATTAAAATAAAATAAAAATTTGTGGGCCAAAAAACTACAAAAAAATGTCGAAAAATTTCTTTCTAATTATATATTTTTTGAAAAATTATCCAACATTGTTATCTTTTTCAAAGAAATAATTTTCAGTAATTTTTTCATTTATGTCCATTTTTATCTTTTTATTTATTTATTTTATTTTCATTTGCGTTGTAAAGATGTTTCAAAAGCAGAAACAAGGAAAGAACCACCATACTCGCTGAGATTTCATGCTAATTAAAATAGGGGAATGTTGAATAATAGTTCAAGGAAACAATTATCCGACTGCAACATCTATGCTAGCTTGCACGTTTCTCTCTCTCTCTCCCTCCCTCTCTCTCTCTCTCTCTCTCTCTCTCTCTTTCTCTCGTTCTCTCCTTTTCTCTTTCTCTCTGAATATGTATGTGATATAGTTGAATGTGTGTGTAGATTGAATACGGATGTGTATGTACGTGATGGTGTATGTATATGAATGTTAGTACACTCCTGCATGTTTCTACATTTAGAGGGTTGATGTTATTGAAATAACGAACTCTCTTATTAATATTTAGAAGACTGATTTGGCTCATTTTATCTGTAAAGTATTAATTTTAATTGAGATAATAATTGAACACCCATTCGAACACAAACATTTTTATACATGTTTACATTTTAGATGTGATATTTTTTGTATTTATGACCTTTCAAAATGTTTGCAAGCATGCGGAATTATTTGTTGTCCATGTTGATGCCATCATGCATAAAGATATGCACCACACACGCACAGACTGAGCTGCATTACGTGTGCATATTCTACAGTATTGTTATATTTGTTGTTTGCTGTTCAACAACACGTTCGTCTGTTTGTCTGTATGTTTGTTTGTTTGTTTGTATTATTGTGTATTACACATGCATTAATATAAACTGTATTGCATTGTTTGTTTGTTTGTTCAGATGTTTATATGTTTAAAAGTTTGCATGTACTGGTTTTTTCTGTTTGTTTTTTGTTTGTGTGTTTACGTGTTTGTGTGTTTGTGTGTTTACGTATTTGTGTGTTCACACGTTAAGATGTTCATACATTGGCATGTTTGTATCTGCAGGCAGATATGTTTGAATGTTCATGCCTGTTTGCGCGTTTAGACGCAGACATCTCGTTAGATTTGAAAGTGTGTAGAAGTTATTTCATGAAAAGTCTCAAAAGCGCCTCCCTATAAACTATCCAGGTGTAATTGAAATGAAGCACTTCGGAAAAAATAACGAAAGTTAACTTTTTCAAATGTTTAAAACAAAAATAAAAGTATAGCGCTGGCACGTTGAATACAGTTGAACACGTCCGTCCCTTCCACGACATGAACATTCCAGTCGAGTACATTTTGTTTAGAGTTGCATTGTTGGCACAGCATCTGAAAAATAAATATTAATTTTCTTATATTTATTTAATTATAATAATTAAACTTGAGTATGATAAACTAACATTGTATGCTGTGTATCTGAGCATCAGATGGAATGTGGTTTATAAATTAGTTTGTTTTCTGCTACTATCTCTCTGTGTGTGTGTGTGTGTATGTGTGTGTGTGTGTGTGTGGTGTGTATGTGTGTTTGTGTTTGTGTGTGTGGTGTGTGTGGGATTGTTGGACGATTGTGTATTATGTCAGTTTTAAATGTTTGTATGTTTGTTTGTATGTTGTTTATGTCTTTTATATTGCTGTATGTTTTTGCAGTTTTTACTGTTGCTTCGCCATTGTCCTGCATTTAACGCTAATGATGAGAAGTCTAAACTTTAAATGATTTATGCGATAGTTTTTGCATAATTCCGTTTGAGTTCTGAATTACAATTGGCGCTATATAAATGTCTAAAAAATAATAATAATAATAATAATACTTGTGATGCATTTTGGAAGGTTTATAGTTTGATATGAAATATTTTGTGGTTGGATCATGATTTATTTAGAGTGATTGTACACAATCAAACATAGAGTCTCAAGCTTAACTCGTTGTATCTGATTTCCATTGTAGGTAAGTGACTGAACTATTTCTACCACTACGTAAGAAATGCTGTTTGGGTGAAATAATAATCTGAATTGATTTGTTTCACAAAAATTTATATTAATTTTTCATCACAATAACGGAGAGTAACATCGTATAATAACACGATAATGAATCAGAGAATGTAATGTAAGGTACAGGCAACAAATGAATTGTGGTTAAATAAATTAATGACACGTGACAAGATGGTTTGCCGTTACGCAGATATCTCATTACCAACCCATTGAATGGCTGTTGGCTGGCTGGCTGGACCCCGTCTTTACTGGATAATTGTGAGGGCGATGCACGTTTAATAATAAATTCGGATGCTTCTTGTATGCGGTTTTTCAGACACACTCACACTCTCATTCTCTCTCTCTCTCTCTCTCTCTCTCTCTCACACACACACACACACACACATATATACACACATACATATATACATACATCAATAGATACATACACACACGCTTATGAAAAAACGTATGTACGTTGTAAATATACCTTTTGTTGTTTATGTTTATTCTTCCAACGATTCTTTCAAACCGGCGTTTTTGTTTTGTTTCCCAGGCTGTTGCTTTTTTTACGCAAAAAATTTTTTCACGAGCAACTTCGCATTCAAAAAAAATTTCTAATTTAAAATTTTTTTGTTTTGAAAGATTTACAACTCGCAAATTTGAAATAGAAAATATTGTAGAATTGTGCCTCAACCAGCTTCATTGCACAGGAGATTTTTCACACAATTGAAGAAGTTGTGTAATGATCGATGCTGAAGCGCCAATATTCAATTAAAAGCTGCTCCGTCTAAACATTTTTTCCATTATGCAACTCTGGATAACGGAGACGATTAAAAATCATTTTCACTTGCATTGCTTTCAATTAAGTTCTCGTGCCACGGAGCTTCTATTTACACGACGCTTGGCGAAGTGAGCCAGCAATATTGTATAAGAAATTTATGCTGACGTGTGTTGATGTTGCGTTCAGTTACAGTTGGCTGTGCTTCGAATTCGTGCATCCTCAGAAGTTGAACTGAAATGCCGTAACGTACGCACAGTTGTTGTAAGTAAGCAGCTCATAAAATGTACGAAAATTGCAAATCGGTGAATGTAGCGCAGTCATCATTTGGAAAATACCTGACTCTAAACAATTTTTAACAGTTTTTCAAATTAGTCAATTGCGTGTTTGAAAGAAATCTACGCGTAACTGTGCGCTGGCCTGCTGCTAACTATCTTCTATGTTTTGTGAAGTTGTATGCGTTTTAAAGTTTTTAAACTGCAGAGCTTTTTCAAAATACAAATTTATAGTAATAATAATATGAGCATTTATATAGCTTTGCACAGCTGCTTCAGAGGCACCAGAGCCTGTGTTTAAACGATGAGGATGAGGACAGAAGCCGGAGTTAGCAAGGTGATATTTGGCAGAAGGAATGTTCAAGAAACTCAAAGGATAATTGTCGTTTAAACAAAAAATTATAGAAATGGACTAAAGAGAAGAATGGGGCAGAAACTTTCGTTTCCAAAGAAATGCGGCGGACGTCATCAGGACAGAGGACGAGTGGGCGAGGTCGTAAGTATAAATGGACACATCCAGTGCGCTTGTTTAAATTTATTTATACACTTATAAACTCATTTGCACGATGATTATGTGCCTCAACAAGACCTTTCATATATTGAATGGATAGATGGATGGATGGATGGATGGATGGATGGATGGATGGATGGATGGATGGATGGATGGATGGATGGATGGATGGATGGATAGATGGATGGATGGATGGATAGATGGATGGATGGATGGATGGATGGATGGATGGGTGGATGGATGGATGGATGGATGGATGGATGGATGAACGATGTGAACATTACCCAAACCATCAGCGTTAAGCATGTCATGAGTCGCACACGTTAAAAAGCGTTGCGCTAGTTAGGTGTTCTACGCATACTACGGAGACAAACAGCTAGAGATGCATGTACTGTACATCTAGAACGACTCGATGGGGAAATTATTTCACAGAAAACATGAGACCCAACCAACTTCTTACAACACATGCTAGCACATCGCCCCAACTAATACACATATCTTGAGTTATCTGTTGCTTATATATATATATATATACATATATATATATATATATATATATATATATATATATATATATATATATGTGTGTGTGTGTGTGTGTGTGTGTGTGTGTGTGTGTGTGTGTGTGTGTGTGTGTGTGTGTGTGTGTGTGGGTAAGTGGGGGTGGTCACATAATTGGATAATGTCGGGAGTATTGGTACATTTTGAGAGCGTGAAAGATCAGAGGAGTGCGGTTGTTGATGCGTTCTTCAGTCTGCGAGCGTGTCTTTTCTGAGTAACTGATTGTCTGTTTTGTTGTATAATTGCGTTTCATACTGTATGTATATGTGTACGTATGTTAAATACTATGTGTGTGTATATATATATATATATATATATATATATATATATATATATATATATATATATATGTTTTTACAATATTGTAAAAATTATGGTCTATTACCAACATATGTATATGCATGTATGGTATAGTGTATATGTATAAGTGTGTATGCTTGAATAAAGGCACGAGTATAAAATTATGGCACGGTGTTCATAGATTGTGAATTAATCAATTCAAATATTTCCTGCGTCTCCAGAGATCTCAAAATAAATAATATTCGTGATATATGATGAGGTTGAAGAATTGTGAATCGCTGAGCAGACATTTCGTTAGTTAGCTGTTCTATGCACATTGTTATTAAGCACACAAAAACAAAAAATTTTATCGCAAACATTTTGCGACGAATATTTAGAGATTAAGGTAGATCAGTAGAAGAAATTGTCTGCAATTGTTATTTTTATTTAAGTTGAAGAAAACATTTGCGAATACTTAATATGTTTTTTGTAACGGTGAATTTTTACTGTCAACATTTTTACTTCAGTCAACAAAAACAGAAGCTTTTTCTTCTCATTGTTCTTATTGGTACGTGTTAAAGATTAACTTTTCCATACATGCAATACTGTTTGTTTACTCATTGTTCTTATTGTTGCCAACATCTTCCTTGTCATCATCTTCATCCCTTCATCTTACTAACTACATCGTTATCCTGTCATGATCAGCAT